CCAACACCTTGATCTCGGACGTCCAGCCTCCAGACCATGAGAAATCAACGTGTGTTGTTGAAGCCCCTGTCGGTGGGACTTTGTTGCTTCTGCCTGAGCTGACAGAGACACACCCTAAAGCTTCAAATCTAGGAGCAGCACGATGGAAGCCGTGCTACTGACTCACCATGTATAGGAAAGAGAACCACGAAAGCAAAAGAAAAAGAAGTGCACATTGCCCATCTCTGTGCAGCTGTCTGGGGCCACCCCGTGTAGACTTGTCTGCACCCCTGTGTTTATTCTCCCTTCGTGTCAATTCGAAATGTTTTCTTTCTTTCTTGTTTTGTTTTGTGTGTGTAAATGTGAGCTACATCTAAGCCTTTGTGGAACGAGGCAGGGTTAGGAGTAACAAATAGCAAAGGTGTCTGTGTCCACAGTTACAGATACACATTTGGTAGATGCAGGGACAAATGACCCCAAACTGGGGGCTTAAAATGACCCGAATCCATCCTCCTTCAGTTCTGGAGACCAGACCTCTGAGGTCAAGGTGTCCCAGGGCCGCGCTCCCTCCAGAGGCTCCATGGGAGGCTCCTTCCTGCCCCTTCCAGCTTCTGGGGGCTCCAGGCGTCCCTGGGCTTGTGGCCACCTCGCTCCTGTCTCTGCCTCCGTCTTCAAGGGGCTTCTACTCTGTGTCTGTGTCTCTCCTCTTCTGTGTTTTAGAAGGACCCTGTCATTGGATGTAGGGCCACCCTCATCCAGGAGGACCTCATCTTAGATCCTTCCCTTCATTTCATCTGCAAAGACCCTATTTCCAGAGGGCCCGTCCCCAGGTCAGCCCTTAAACGTCTCTTCTTTGGAGAACACAGATCTCCCCACTGCAGGCAGCGTCTCTTTTGGTTTCATCCCTTGTAGAACGTGGTGCAACTCCTTTCCGTCGGGTGCAGGACCAGTTCCTGTGGCCCCAACGGTTCAATCCCATCTGTTTTTAAACCAGGTGACTTTTTCAAAGACAGCCTCCCGGAAGCAGATCTGTACGTCCTTTCCAGAATTCTGCAGGACTGGCCAGATGACAAACTCCACAAGCTACTGAGCCGGATCTCAAGCAGCTGCAAACCAGGTGAGACCACATCACGTACTTGCCTTTTTTAACACATAAAGACAGTTTACAATTTTTAAAAAAGTGTACATTTTATAAAGGAAGCTCTCCGTCCTCCAGCTCACCTTCTGGTGCTCAGTTTACCGGCTCCCTGAGGACGTACCTGATTCTTGGGTGTCAGTGATGCGTTTCGGAACTTTATGGCGCCAGCATCTGGGGTCTCGGGCTCGTGGATGCCCCGCCGCCCGGCTGTGTCCCTCCCCGGGCCCCGCTGGGCTCAGGGTCTCCCTCCTCCGATGATGATGATTTTCCAGGCTGCTCTGTGATACCCAGCCTCTCCCCACAGCACTCGGGGTCAACGTGGGTCATCGGGCTCGTGGAGTCGAGGGCACCAAGCCGCCTGGGCCCCTCCCTGGGTCCCCACGTCCAGCGGCGCAAGACGAGCTCTCTTTCCACGTCCTGTGACCCCGGCGTCTCCCAGGGCACCTCCACTGCCTCTTCTGTGCGGTTATGAAACAAAATATTCAACAATCTGGGGTCATCTTCAACACCCAAATGCCCCTCCTGTTCTCCACCTCTCAGGAAAACGACCCCCATTCCCGATCTCTTATTTGGGACAAAAACCAGAGCGAGGGTCGAGTCCATGCAGGCGGTGTCTGCAGGAAGTAACCACGTGGCAGCCGTCCTGGGGCCCCGTCTCCTATAGCCGTGACCTGTTCCCAGGACCCGTGTGGTTCAGTACGACTGCAGCCCCTCCCCTGGGGTCTGAGCCCTGCAAGCTGCGCCGAGCACGTCCATCTGGGGTACCCAAAGGGCGTTTTTTTTTTTTTTAGTTAGATTTATTTATTCTTTTTTTAGAGTGTAGTTGCTTTACAATGTTGTGTTAGTTTCTCCTGTACAGCAAAGTGAATCAGTTGTATGTATACATATATCCCCTCTTTTATTTTATTTAATTTTATATATATTTTTTGGCTGCATCACGTGGCACGCGGGATCCTAGCTCCCCATCCAGGGATCAAACCTGCACCCCCTGCATTGGAAGCGTGGAGTCCTAACCACTGGACCGCCAGGGAAATGCCTAGGAAAATATTAATAAAGGCGTGGAAGGTTAAGTAAATTTTTTAACTGAGCCAGTTTTAGTCCCCCAAACAACAGTGTAGTTAAGGCATTCTTGTTGGTCCCTGTAGCACAATAAAGAGGGTCCCGCCCCAAATTCACGTCCACCTAGAATATTATTTGGAAGCAGGGTCTTTGCTGATGTGATGAAGTGAAGGGTCTGAGATGAGGTCCTCCTGGATGAGGGTGGCCCTAAATCCAATGACAGGGTCCTTCCAAGAGACAGAAGAGCAGAGACACAGACACAGAGGAGAAGCCCCAGCAAGACAGAGGCAGAGACGGGAGGGACACGGCCACAAGCCAAGGGTCTCCTGGAGCCCCCAGAAGCTGGGAGAGGCAGGAAGGACCCTGCCCTGGAGCCTCTGGAGGGAGTGCAGCCCTGTCCACACCTTGACCTCAGACGTCTGGTCTCCAGAACTGGGGGAGGATGGAGGTCTGTGGTTTTAAGTAGTTTGTTCCGGCCACCCCAGGACACCCACGCAGCCTGTGAGATGCAGGTTTTCATGTGGTCACAGGAGCATCACACGGACATTCGGGGTACCCTCCCCAAGAATGTGGCCCCAGGAGGGCGGGTTCCTGTTTGCTCCCTGCTGTGCCCCCGAGTCGGAGAACAGAGTCCCCACATAATGGATGGAACACAGTTGAGAAGGAAGGAATCACAAAACAGGGGTGCCCCCGGGGGCGAGGCAGGGCCGGGAGATGTGAGAGCTGGATTCTCACCTGCCTCAGAGACAGGCACTGAACCTGGGGACAGTCAGTTCCAAGTTGCCTTTATACTGCGAAGGGTTTTGGGGGGCAGGGGTGGGGGGGTGGGCATGGGTGTGTTGCAGCTTAGACCTGCTGGCTAGAACTGCTTGTTAAATGTTCAGCACTCCTGCCAGCCAGCGCATACCAAGCTGTCAGCGTGAAATTGGCAGTGGAGGAAATACTTAAGAGCTCAGAAACTGGCAGGCACCGGGAACCAGGGCTTCCCTCCACCCCCGCAGCTGGGATTGCAAAGGTTGCCTGCACCCTGGGGACAGTGGGGGTCACAGATAAGAATTGAGCGTGACCTCCTGGGAATTCCCTGGCGGTCCAGTGGTTAGGAGTGTGCACTTTCAGTGCCGAGGGCGCGGGTTCAACCGCTGGTCAGGGAACTAAGATCCTGCCGGCTGCACGGCAAGGCCAAAAAAAAAAAAAAGACCTCCTTTAATATAGGGCTTTTGGAGCCGCTGAGTTAATAAACCCGTGTATCCATGAGTCTGAAAAACATAAAAACTGACAGAAAACAGAATGAGCACACCATATGACCCCAATTCTTTTTTTTTTTTTTTTTTTTTTTTTGCGGTACGCGGGCCTCTCACTGCTGTGGCCCCTCCCTTGCGGAGCACAGGCTCCGGATGCGCAGGCTCAGAGGCCATGGCTCACGGGCCCAGCCGCTCCGCGGCATGTGCGATCCTCCCGGACCGGGGCACGAACCCGTGTCCCCCGCATCGGCAGGCGGACTCTCAACCACTGTGCCACCAGGGAAGCCCGATCCCAATTCTTTTTATTGAGGTATAGTTGCTGTACAATGTTATAGGTTACAGGTGTGCAGTATAGTAAGTCACCATGTTTAAGGGTTACACTCCATTTACAGTTATTATAAAGTATGGGCTCTATCTGCTGTGCTGGACCATATATCCTTGCGGCTGACTCTACACCTAATAGTGTGCAGCGACGATCCCAATTCTGTTAACTTCACGTGTACTTAAATGCCTAGAACCCAAATGAGATTCTGCACCAAAATTCTCCCAGTTACTGTCACCGGCGTGCAGAGCTGGGGCTCGTGTGCCACCGCCTGCTTTGTGCCTTTCCTCGGGGTCTCCCCCAGTAACCCAAGCCAAAGGCAGAAGCAAGCGCAAGCTACCTACTGCCCCTCCGCTTTCTGTCCCAAAGGCTTATCTTCTCCCGGCTTGCTTCCCGTTTCTTCACGAGCACTTCTGAAAATACATATACAGAGAGTTGGACAGATACAGCTGTGTGTACACACACACACACACGCATACTTTCTACTTTTCAAGGCTCTCATGTAGGTTGTTTCTACCAACAGTGCAGCAGCTCCACGTATAAACACCACTCTATGGGAAATAGAGGACCGACAAGGACCTACTGCACAGCACGGGGAACGCTGCCCCAGTCTGTTGGAATACCCTATAATTGAAGAGAATATAAAAATATATATATATATATTTATATACATACATGTACAACAGAATCACTTGTCTGTACACCTAAAACTAACACAACATCGCAAGTATAATTCAAAAAAAAAAAAAAAGATAATCTCGCTGAACCAATTAAAAGTCAGAAAAAAAAAAATCGTGCTCCTGGCACCCTCGTGGCCGGTGCCCTCCCTGTGCCACGCAGGTCCGCCCGGGATACTGCTGCCAGGGAAGTGCCGGTGCGGTTCCTTATGGCATCAGGGAGGCTGCAGCTGTGTCCCTACATTCAGCATCCCTGCCGTCCGTGTCTTCCTGCAGCGAATCCCTTCAGTGGGGAGCCCGGGGCACCCGCAGCCTGGGTCCTGAGACTCTTCCCCACCCCGTCTCTCTCTGTCTCTGGCTCCCCAGGCGGTGGCCTCCTGGTGGCGGAAGCGGCGGCGGCGGAGGAGGGGGCGGCGCGGGGCCCCCGGCTGCGGACCCTGAGCGCCGGGCAGCCCCGGAGCCCCGACGAGAACCGGCGCCTCCTGCAGCGACACGGCTTTCGGGACGTGCGGGTGGCGCGCGCGGGGGACCTGCTGCACGTGGTCCTGGGCACCCGAGCTGCGCCCTGAGGGTCACCGGAAACCCGGCGGGGCCCAGCGCCCGGGAGTGAAGGGTTTCTGGAGAGCAGATGTCGCCGGACAGATTAAAGGAGGCGGAAAGCACAGCTGTCTCCGCGCGTCTGTGATGAGCCCGGGTGGTGGGATGCGCGGGCGGGGGGACCCAGGGGCTGGCGAGGGATGCGCGGGCCAGGCCAGGTCCCCAGGTGATGTCAGCATCTCCCTCGCTCCCTCTTAGCTGGTGACTAGATCTTAGCGCATCTAGACCCTATTTCCCAGTGTTTCACTCCTGTTTTCAGTGCGTTTGTCCTCTGCCCTCCTGGCTGCGTGCACCTTCTCTTACCCTCAGGGCGGCGGAACCTACCTCTACCCCCATCCATGGTGAAACCGCGTACAGGAGCTCACGCGGGGGCGGGGGGGGGGAGGTTTATGGGATCAAGATGCTTGTTTACTGCAAACGTCCTCCAGGTTCCTGTGTGAGGCTAAGTGTCTCTTCTCTTTTTTTTTTTTTTTTTTTTTTTTTTCGGTACGCGGGCCTCTCACTGCTGTGGCCTCTCCCGTTGCGGAGCACAGGCTCCGGACGCACAGGCTCAGCGGCCATGGCTCACGGGCCCAGCCGCTCCGCGGCACGTGGGATCTTCCCGGACCGGGGCACGAACCCGTGTCCCCTGCATCGGCAGGCGGACTCTCAACCACTGCGCCACCAGGGAAGCCCGTCTCTGCTCTTAATGACTAGGCGAGCACAGTGGTGACTGCGCAGCAATGTATACGTTGTCTGTTACATGTGCACCGTTATTAGAAAAACATGCCCCGAATGTCCGATGGGGTCCTTTCAAACAGGCCCCCTGTGAGTGTTGACATTCACCTGTGCTTTCCAGCTAAAACCACCACAGACTGATACATAACTTCCAAGAATAGAGACGTATGTATAATATTCTAGGTGTAAGGATATATTTTAGGGGCTTCCCTGGTGGCGCAGTGGTTAAGAATCCGCCTGCCAACACAGGGGACACGGGTTCGAGCCCTGGTCCGGGAAGATCCCACACGCCGCGGAGCAACTAATAAGCCCGTGAGCCACAACTACTGAGCCCGTGTGCCACAACTACTGAAGCCCATGCACCTAGAGCCTGTGCTCCACAGCAAGAGAAGCCACCGCAGTGAGAAGCCTGTGCACCGCAATGAAGAGTAGCCCCTGCTCGCCGCAACTAGAGAAAGCCCACGCGCAGCAACGAAGACCCAACACAGCCAAAAATAAATAATTTTTAAAAATCCTTAAAAAAAATGTATTTTATATATTTAGAGCATATAAACTATGTATGTTGTATATAAATGGGAAAGTATGTATTTATAATATATAATACACACACACACACACAAGTATATAATTTTGGACGGACTCCAATTTTTAAAAAACCACAAACTGTGTCTCCATGTGAGGCAAAGACAGGAAGGAGGAAATGAAACACTGGCTAAAAAGGGAGCTGTGCCATCCCAATGGAGTGCTGGCAGCTCTCCTGAGTGAGAGAGCCAAAGGAGAGGGGTCACGGCCCGTCCGTCCATCTGGCCCTGGTGTGGACCTGCAGCCTCAGTGAAACTGCAGCTAGGGTCACAGAGACCGCCCACCCGGGTCTCCTCTGCCTGCCCCGTCCCTTCACCTGGGCAGGGCGGTGCTCGGCTGCTGGCACGGCCCACCCCTGCGCGGTGGACCTGGGGTGACGCTGACCCTGTTCACTGGGGGCCACTCCCTTCCGCCCCCTTCCTACCCGGGGGGAGAGGTGAATCCCTGCAGGTGACCCTGCCTCAGCCAAGGGCACCGTGTTGCAGCAGGGCTGGGTCCCCAATAACAAGCGACGGGTACAGGGCATGTGGAACGCCCGCGCTCTGGCCCGTCAGGGAGCCAGCAGTCTTCACACTGGGTTTGCTAGAAGAAACTGTATTTGTAACCAGAGGTGTCCACAGAGCGCCTGCCTCGGCCGGGGGGAGGGGGGTGGTACCCGACGCCCCCTTAGTCCTGGCTACTGGGAGCCCTGCGGGCTGCGGGCAGGGGGGCTGCTACAGGCAGGGCTCTGACCCACGACTGTGCCCCTAAACCAAGGATGTGCCCGAGGGCCACGCCCAGTTGGAAGAGTAACGGGCACATGACGCTTGTGGAAGCAATGAAGGGCCCATGGCTTCCTTGTACCGCTCCCTCCTTCTTGTGCTGGAACAGTTTGCAGTAAGAAAAAAGATAAGAAACTAAAAGGTGAGAAAAGGAGGTGTGACTTCCACACAACCTGTCTCTTCATTTCTTAGAAATACATGCAAAAGCAGGATTTTTAGGGAAGCTGCTGTAAAACTGTACGGGTGTGGCTGCCGCACGTGCCTGTGTCTTTAAATCAACAGGGATTTCTAGGTTGGAATTGCCCTGGACCTGATCGCCCCCCCTCCAGGTCACATTCATCCATCCATCCATCCATCCATTCACTCACTCAGGTGTCTGAGTGCCCACGCAGATGGGGCCTGTCTGGATGCATCGCTGGGTGACATCTCTGTCCTCTCGTCTGGGGTGGACGGAGGGGACGATAAGGATGACACCCGAGGCAGCAGCGTGTGGTCCCCCCAGGTCCCCCCTGCAGGGTCCCTCCACCAGGCAGGCGCCTTCCTGAGCAGCCCCTGGCTCCTCACCAGACCAGTTCACTTAATGCCACCCCCGCCTCGAATGCCACCCTCATCCCTTCTGTGACTCACTCTGGGCCCTCAGTGGAAACCCGATCATCTTTAAGCACCTCCTCCATTGCTTTTCGTTAGGCCATCCGTTTTTCAGATACCCAGCTTCTAATACTGTCCAGGTTGTAATAAGACTTTGGGGCAGCGTGAGGAAGGGGGAGCCATACCCCGCCCTCCCCACTGCTGCCCCTGGGGATCCTAGAACATAACCCCTCCCTCTCCCTGCCGCAACCCCACCTCTCAGCCTCCTTTCTCCCTTTCCAATCCCCGGTGCGCAGTCTACCTCCTTCACCAGGTACACAGTATTCTTGTGCATGGTCCTGCCGCCCTCCCGGGTCAGCTCCCCTGAAGCACGAGGGCTGGGTCACCCCCGCTCAGCGCCACCCCGACAGATGCACATATGCACTGGGCAGACAGATGGGTCTGCGTCTAAGGCCCGCATGAGATGCTTTTTAAAGAGAAACGCGTTCTGAACCCCCGTTAGCAATGAGGGGGAAGAGGTCACACCATTCATTCCTCCCAACAGCGAGGTGCTGACCTGCGCGGGGGACGAGGGGTGGGCGCTGGGAATGCAGGTGAGGCACAGGGAGGGGTGTCCCTTGCCTGGGGGAGGGGTGCGGGTCGCTCAGAGGTTAACCGCTCCCACCGGGACGGGAGAGGCTCTCCAACAGAAGCGCATACTTCCAGGGCCTCACAGCCGGAGCCTGCAGGACCAGCTTCGGCTGGTTGGCCCCTGTCGGCCCCTGTCCATCACAGGGTCCCTCCACGCCCAGACAGGTAGCTCCTGCGTACAAATGCAGACAGGAGAGATGCTTTCTTCACCTGGGAGTGCCCAGACGGAGCCAGCACCCTGTCCCTGCCCAGAACCCACGGCCGCCCTGTCCTCTACCCCAGAGCCCTGCGGTTGCTGCCAGCGGGAGCCGGGCAGGGCCCCCCAGCTCTGTTTTGTCCCCCAGTCCCGTGAAGCCTCAGAAAGCGCCAGAACATCAAGCGCCCCCCCCCCGACACAGACACACACACACACACACATACACAGCAATCCTCGCCCAGTGCGTGCCCTGAGCTGCCCCACCCTCTGCGGCGGCATCAGCCTCAGGTTCCGCCTCTTACCTGCTTCTCCAAGGAGGTCAGGAGAGGGCAGAGCAAGGCCCTGCAAGGACACCGGGGACCGGGGAAACGAATGGCAGGCTCCGGGTGCCCTGGGTTCTGGTGGGCCCGCCCCTGGCATCCATGCACCCAGCGTCAACGGCTGGAGGGGATGCAGGAAAGCCCCTCATGAAAATGTGGGGGGTGGAGCAAAGAGAAAAAAGAGGGAGAGAGAAAGAAACAGGCAGGGAGGGAAATAAGAAATGAAAGGACGCATCCTTGCACCAAGAAAAGGATACTTTCTTGACCTGGATGCTGAGACACCATTGCACTCACTTTGTGAAAATTCACAGAACAATACACTTACGACTTGTGCCATTTAGTTATAATTCAATAAAAAGTTCACAGCATTTCAAAACACCTAGGTCTCAGGAGACTTCTTGGGGGGGAGGGGGGTAGATGTGTTCCTGCGGGTGACATATGTGCCTGTCTGCGTGTGTATGCAGGTGTGCGTGGGCATGTGTGGGCACGTGTCTAGGCATGGGCACGTGGGTGCGTGTGTGAGTGAGCGTGTGCGGGCAGCACACGTGCCCCTGTCGCTCTGGGAGCCGCCACGTCGCAGCGCGCGGCATGGCAGGGGGACCCGAGTCTGAGGCCCACTGGGCCCCGGGAGGGCAGGGCCCAGGGAAAGCGGCCGGGTGGGTGGAGAGGGACCCCCGGGACCCCCCAGTGCCCGGCGCGCCCAGTGCACCCGGAGTCTCGGGGTCAGGGTCGGGGGACCCCACGGCAGGGCGGGGTCCTCCGGGGTCGCTCCTACGGGCGGACCCGTGGTCTACCGGGCAGGGGACAGGCAAGCCCTCGAGAAACCAGGCCTGGGGTACTCGGAGTGGCCTCCTACTCCGGCCCTGACCCCGCGAACTGTCGCTCCTCCCGCGGGGCGATCCCTGGGGTCGCGGCCGGGACTCGGGAGTCTACAGGGGTCATTAAGACGAGTCCGGGGTCGCAGCCGGTCCTCAAAGGTCAGCGAACTTAGACTGGGGGTCTCGGTCGGGACTCGGGAATCACGGGGACGACCCCAAGGGTCCGAGGGTCCGATGCCGGGGCCGGGGCAGGATGAACATCAGGCGTGGGACTCAGTGACCCCTGGCCTTCCCCTTACGCAACCGCCGTCTATTACATCCCCCTGGCCCGGCGTGACCTTCATAAGGTCAAGGCGGCCGCCGCGCCCCCCAGCCCGTCGGGCGCATGGGCGAGGCCCGGCTCCCTACATGCCCCGGGCGCGGCGCGCGGGAAGGGGAGGGACGCCGGCGGCGGTGCAGCCAATGGGCGCGGCGCTCGAGGGCGAGGGGCGGGGCGCAGAGCTGCTCCCGGCAGCCCGTGGGGGCGAGACCAGCGGGAAGGGGCGGGGCTTGTGCGGTGGCGCAGCCAATGGGCGCGGCGCGCGGGGGAGCGGGGCGCGGCGCGCGGAGTAGCGGGGCGGGGCGGGGGCGCCTTAGCGGCTGCGCGCTGGCCACCCCGTCTTTTCGGTCCCGGTGGCGGCAGCGCAGACCAGCGGTGCCCACACTCCGGCTCTCCGCGCCTCCCCTCCGCTTTCTTCCTGCTGCGTTGCCCGCCTCGCCACCATGACGGAACAGGCCATGTCATTCGCCAAGGACTTCCTGGCCGGAGGCATCGCCGCCGCCATCTCCAAGACGGCCGTGGCCCCGATCGAGCGGGTCAAGCTGCTGCTACAGGTGGGAGCCGGCTGCGCACACGCGGACGCCGGGCGAGGTGCGAGGGTCCGGGGCGCGGGGACAGCGGGCCGGGCAGGCCGCGTGCACCGGAAGCGGGAGGCTGCGCCGCTTTGTCCGCGCGCCGCCGGCTTCCGGGGATTGCCCGGGTGCGCGTCACGCGGGCGCTGTCGCATGCGCAGAAATGGGGCCGCGTGCGCCCACGCGCGTGCGCACTGGGCCTCGCGGCACAGTTCGGGGGACGCATGCGCATGGAGAAGCCGCGTGGACGGGCCCCGCGGCGCGAGGGCCGTGACCCTGGGCGGGTCACGAGGGCAGTCCTCGTGCCCTTCGTTGGACTTACGTTCTTTTCCCCTTTTAATTCCCCTTTTGCGGTTCTGAGCCAGAGTAAGCTGTCTTTGTTGCGGGAACATTAGAAATGTAGCGCTAATGCAAACATCGTTAAGTGAGCTGTAGTGACCAAAAGATGGTTTTCTTCTGGTAGGACGTTTGGGCAGCTGTTATCTTACGAAGACAGCACCTTTCGTTGGGGGTTCTTGGGGGCGTCTGACTTAGGCCCTCGTGTAAAACGCCTGTCTCTCTGCCCCCAGGTACAGCACGCCAGCAAGCAGATCGCGGCCGACAAACAGTACAAGGGCATCGTGGACTGCATCGTGCGCATCCCCAAGGAGCAGGGTGTGCTGTCCTTCTGGAGGGGCAACCTGGCCAACGTCATCCGCTACTTTCCCACGCAGGCCCTCAACTTCGCCTTCAAGGACAAGTACAAGCAGCTCTTCCTGGGGGGCGTGGACAAGCATGCGCAGTTCTGGAAGTACTTTGCGGGCAACTTGGCCTCGGGCGGGGCGGCCGGAGCCACCTCCCTCTGCTTCGTCTACCCCCTGGATTTCGCCAGAACCCGGCTGGCGGCTGACGTCGGCAAATCTGGCGCGGAGCGCGAGTTCAGAGGCCTGGGAGACTGTCTGGTGAAGGTCACCAAGTCTGACGGCATCCGGGGGCTGTACCAGGGCTTCGGCGTCTCTGTGCAGGGCATCATCATCTACCGGGCCGCCTACTTTGGCGTCTATGACACCGCGAAAGGTGAGTGCGCCCTGCCCTCGGGGCTGACCGCAAAGCTGCTGGGCGGGCTGCTCCAGCAGCAGAGGTCTGCGGACTCCCAGTCCCGAGATCCAGGTGTGGGCAGGGCTGGTTCCCCCGAGGCCTCTCTCCTGGGCGTGTAGACGGCCGTCTCCTCCCTGTGTCCTCACAGGGCTGTTCCTCTGTGTGTCTGTGTCCCAATCTCTTCTTATAAGGATACCATTTCTATGTGATCAGGACCCACCCTGATGACCTAATTTTTTTTACTTTAATTATCTCTGTAAAAGATTTTATTTCCTAGTACAGTTACACTCTGAGATCCTGGGGTTTGGGGCTTTAGCATATTTTGGGGGAGGACACAGTTCACGCCGTGTAAAGTAAGTCACCTTGGAGGTCGGGGCCCTGGCCCGCTGGCACCTTTGCAGTGGAACGGATGTGAAACCTTCCGCTTCCCAAGGCCCGTCTGTTTCCCTCTAGAGAGGTCCCTGCTGCCGGGTACCAGGTTGGTCTCTGGGGCCATCCTCCCAGCCTGCAGGTGGCTTCCCCATCTCTGGCTGGTGTGCTGACCCCAGTCTGACCAGTCTAGTGTCACCTGGTGCTGGGATCCCCGCGTGGAGCTGGGGGTGGCCGTGTGCGCGGCCCTGGGGCCTCACGCTCACGGTGACCCCGCAGGCATGCTCCCCGACCCTAAGAACACGCACATCATGGTTAGCTGGATGATCGCGCAGACGGTGACGGCCGTGGCGGGCGTGGTCTCCTACCCCTTCGACACCGTTCGGCGGAGGATGATGATGCAGTCGGGGCGCAAAGGAGGTACCGTCTCCGCCCTGCTGCCGGCCGCCCGTGCTCTGGGGGTGGGGCATCGCCGAGTGGCCTGGCGTTCGGCCCTTCAGAGGTGCACAGCCAGCACGTGAGGCGCTTCGTGTCGGGGGTGGGCAGCATTTGGTCCCAGAGGGAAGTCGCTGGGCTTCGTGGGGGAGGCCTGGGCCGGGTGCCTGCTCCCTCTCTGCCCGTGACCCTCGGGTGTGCTGGGCCCTAGGGAGGCTGGGGCTCGAGTTTGCGTTCGACCCCAACCCAAACGGTGGGTGCCCAGAGCTTCCTTTTCCTGCGGTCGAAACGCCTGGCCGCCCAGATGGTGGCAGCTGGGGCCCCGTGTCGGCACCGTGTTTCTCCGGGGCCTGCTTCGCGCCTGTGTGATCCTCTCCGTGACCTCCGCCCTCTCCCCGCAGCCGACATCATGTACAGGGGCACCTTGGACTGCTGGCGGAAGATCTTCACGGACGAGGGCGGCAGAGCCCTTTTCAAGGGCGCCTGGTCCAACGTGCTCCGTGGCATGGGCGGCGCCTTCGTACTGGTCCTGTACGACGAGCTGAAGAAGGTCCTGTAGGCGCCCCGCCCCGCCCACCCCGCC